CATAAGAAACACGAAGATTACCTGGTCGCTGATGCGCGATTTTCCCAAATCAACAGACGTCATGAAGTCAGACGCACTAGTTAATCCCCTGCATAGGATGAAGCTAAACACAAAGGCCTAAATGCACATCACACGATGAAAGCAGGCGCTGGTATCCATGTGTCGTTTCTACGGCGTGATAGTGTGCGACAAAGGCACTGCCTTTTGCTGGCCGCCATGCCAATCCAGTTCATTGGTTTGCGAGAATGGATTTCTGTGCTCTCACTCTCGTGCTCTCTCGTTTCTGAGTCCGTTCTCTCGCCTTGCAGCAAAGTCCCTATTAAGGCTAAGGTAGGGCTCACCCTCAATAGGGAGTCCCTCCTGTAGGTGGAGATCTAGGTCGTGGTTGCGACAAGTTAGCGACTCAGAAAGCCTCACTGAGGCGCTAGGCGGCTACGATTTTGAACCGCAGACACCCATTTAATCCGTACCCGCCTACCCTTCGTTAAATTCTTTATGTCACCACGAGGAATCGAACTAGGGACCTCTTTTCTGGTATTCAGAGGGCCGTTCAGGAAAAATTGACATGGTTCTGTGGTTCCCGCATGTGCCCCTATATCATGCAAAAGACCGTTTTGAAAAAGCTTGGCACGCCCTGAACGACCTCCCTTGTTAGACTTCGCCGCAGCAGAGCGGAGAGGTTCGTATTTCCTGTGTTTCTGAAGGTATTTCTTTTTTTTCTTTTCCCTTCGTGGTCTATCACATTGAAATGATCCGGAACTTGCCTTAAACCATCTCTATCTGTCCGTCTCATAAGAAGGAAGGCTTTACCTATAACCTCATGAACTTCCCGAGAAGTTATATGTACATATTTCTGAGCACTGCAAAGCCATCTACGAATTCAATTATTTTATTGCCTGAAGAGACGTGATAATAAATAGTTCAGTTGATAAAAGTGAACTCCTTCAATTAAGATTTGCAACTAACGTAGTTTGTTTTTGCAGTGATAATAAATCACAAGCCTCAACTTGCCTGGGACATTTACGCGAGATCGACCGACCCGAAAGGAGTCTTTCAACATCCTCCGTATCATCGCGATGGACTGCTATTCAGTAAGCTCTCATTATCCCATCAGTGTGAAAGTATTTCTTTTTTGTATTTGAGCACTTTCGATTTGGAAAGGCATCTCAAACGAGAAGCATTTCCATCGCAGCAGATCAATGAAATACGCTTGGTTTTGTATTTTAAGACGATATGTTGATTCAGATGGGTGAGTTCTACTATGCGGCCAAAGCTTTTGACGGGCTCGAAAAGATCGACCCTCTCCGGAAAACTGGCAAGGAAAACGAGGTGCCACCAGCGGTTTATTCAAGATGTTGGTCCAAGGAAAAGCAACAAAGTGGGTTTGATTGCAGTAGATCCTTTTTTTGAATTTATTAGAGAACTTGGTAACTATCAACAGGGGGTTGGGTCAAAGTTCAAACAATGTTTTTTGAAGTTTTGGGAAGTGTTCTCAGGGCGCCAACTTTTTTTGAGAGACTTACATCTACTTTCCTACTCGATTCGTTCTATCGTTTGGTATTTAGGTTTTGCTCGACTGACAGAGATTTTTGACAGAGCATTGTGTGAATTACTATATATACGAAAGCGCTAAAGTGAATGATACTTCTTGACAAGTTTAGAATTTGCAGCGAGCAAATGTCAGAGGTTCTGCAGCTGCTCGACCGTGGAAATCATCCTCAAGCAGATTTTGTGTCATCAACGATACGGAGATGGGCGAAAAACCATGAAATCACACTGGAATGAAATGTTTTCCTCAATCACCTGTTCATATTCATTGAACCTTTTGGTCATGTGTGCTAAACCAGAGTCAGCCGTGCGTTAGGCAAAAAGTGCAAAGTTGGACGAGGACACCGCTCCTTCTGAGGGTCCTCAGCACGATCCCCTCCAACGGACAGAGTATGTACAGAGTCATCGAACCCCGTCACCTGCGCCTGCAAAAGCCTCTGTCGAAATCCCCTGATTTTGGTCGAGAGGGATGGCCGTTCCTCCTATATAAACAACTGTCGCCAACAGAATTTTTTTTTGAAATTTAAAAAATTCCAAATTGCCAAACTGCTAAAAATCATCATTTTCATGCATGCGACCCTTTTTCTTCAAATACGACCCATCTCTCTAGAATTTTCTTCCAGAACCACAAATACGACACATTTCCTTTTACCCTAAAATCCCATAGATAAGAGCGGTTTAATTTACCGGTGAAAAATGAATTGGAATGAAATTGAAATTGAATGCAGTCACCCCTCTAACTTGATGGATGGATAAATAAAAATCGGAGAAGAAGTTTAGAAGAAGCTCCGCCCCTCAACTCTAAACCCCGCCCACTTAATAAACAATTCATATAGAAAAATAGCGATTTTAACGGAATTTCTGCCGGAATCTCTCTAGAAATGCCGGAATTTGATCTCTGGATAGAACTTGAAGAGCCCATTCGATCAGTAAAATTCCATAGATAAGAGCGGTTTAATTTACCGGTAAAAAATGATTTTGAAAAAATATTTTTATTTTTATTTTATTTTTGAAAAAATATCTATGGACCGCTCTTATCTATGGGATTTTAGGGTAGTTTGGAAAATCCTAACACAGACGGTTGACTCTGGGTTAGACTTATCTCAGTTCTCACCCATCACTGGACGATTAACAGCTCAGGATAACTAATTGGCCAATTGAGCGGGAATCTGTGTGTGATTTACTAGTGATTTTCATATTTTTATGTGTTCAAGGAAATGTCTATTGTGATGTCATTAACAGGTTGAAAGATAAAGATCTGGCGAATCTTGTTCTGGGATCCGCTATCAGCGATGCGCAATTCAGTGCTTTTACCCTTTCAATCGAATCTGGAACGATTGAAACAACTGCAGGAAGATCTAAGGTTCGGGTTGCCCCGACTGGGTTTCATTATGAAATCTGTATTCGACATGAACAATAAAGGATAAGCCATAAAAGCGTTGATCAATCCCTTTGGGATGCGGCACGCATTCTACTTCCATTTGTACATTCGTAGTGGCGTTTGAATGCGATGTGGCCTATACAATGACTTGCGGGGGCCAGCCGATGTTCAAGTCAGTGTTTTTATCCTCCCAGACAAGTCTGGTACCAATTAACCGACCCCCGGAGGGATGGAAGGCTTGGTTGGCCCGGGCGACTCACGACCCAGGATTTGATCCCCGGACCGCTCGCGTGGTAAGTGCGCCACTTGCCACTACACCACTTCCGCCCTCTACATGAACAACTTACAAATTATGAATCAAAGGCTCTGCCATGACGTACACTAAACACAGCCTTCTGGTCC